TTAAAAAATGAAAATTTTCATTCGAGTCGAAAATTACGCACGTTCGATATATCGAAATTTAATAACCCCACAATATTAACCGTCTCATCATTTTCAAAACAATAAAATTCGTAATAAAAAAAAAAAACCTTAACCCCCCCCCCGCTGCTTTCCACCCCACGTGACCGAACACCCCTAAACCTTAGCTTTACGACAACAACAAAAAGAAATTATTGTGTTATTTCCTCTTTATTTTACATCATCATTAATACGTCAACACCATCAAAAAAAAAAAAAAAAAAAAAAACAATCTAGCTTAATAAAATAAATAATAATAACTAAAAATACGGTATTAATGATGATAATGATAATAATAATAATAATAATAATAATAGAAACAAGAACGAGAACAACTGCAACACCAACGATGACCTCATTTAATCCGTTTCGAATTTAATAACCAAAAAAATCTCCGTTTGTTCAAGTGCAGAAAAAGTTTTTTGTAACCTTTGAACCCACCTCCCCCACCTCAAATATTCTTTTTAAATTTCATTTTCTTCGTGTACGACAACAGCGAGATGCAGAATAAAACGTTTCACCGTAACCGTCATCATCACTCATTATCGTTATCATTACTATTATTACTATCATCATCATCATCATCTTCCCCCTCCCCCCCCCCAATTTCCAATAATAATTAAAACTTTTTCCCTCTTATTTATTGAATAATAATAAATTATTATTATTATGGCGAAAAATTTTTCTTTTTTTTTATTAACAAAATTAATTGTTTAAAAATAACCGCGACCCTAACGAACTTTAACGAACGCCGCAACCCGAAAACATATAAAAAAAAAAACATAAACAAAACGTGTGTGTGTGCGTGCGTGTGCGTGTTGGTTGTGCGAACGTGTGTGCGTTCGTACGGGGAGTTTATATATTTAATTGTTATTTTATTTTTTCCTTTTCTCACACAGCACACGCACACACACCCTTTCACTTCCTCACTTTTTCACTCTCTCTGTCTCTCTCTTTCTCTCTCCTTCTTTTTCACTCTATCAAATAATAGTTTTCTTTTTTTTTCTGTTTTTGTTCGCGCCATCATGTTCACACTTACTCTCTTCCATTGTTCGTTTCCGTGATTTTTTTCGATAATTCGCTAATAAATTCCCTATATATGATCGGATCCATGTTCCTGTTCAACATGTACAATATCCACCAGTCTCCGACGTCCGTTTTCCGCGACACGGCTTTCGCAATGTCGAACGGAATCATTCTATTTCTACGGTGCAATATGTAGGGTCTCACGCTCGGAGCCGCCAATATGACGGCTCTGTATATCAACAGAGCCGAGAGCAGAGTCGCCAATATTATGTACCAAAACCACAGAAATATGTAGGTTTTCTCGTTGACTATGTTCAACGGGAGTATGCATAGCGAGTCATGGGTTTGTATGGATCCGGATGCACCGAATTTTTGAAACGTGCACTTGGTCACGCGGGGAAAAATGTACACCATGGGATCGAAACGATCTTCCTGTGGTTGATTGCTGAACGACATGACGCGAAGTCCGTAACTGAAAAATTCACCGTCGAAAAAATTGTTCATGAGTATGAGTTGTCCGATTATGTTGACGAGACAAAGGGCTTCGCAAAAGAAATATCGAAGAGCGTAGAGTTTGTGTCTCTGAAATTAAACAAGAGAAAGAAAAAAAATGGTAAGTTTGACGTGTATGCTCCGACGAATCTTCTGGAAACGTGCAGCAACTCTTATCAACTTGTACGCAATGGAAATTTTGTTTGTTTTTGTTTTTTCTCGATTCATTCTTTTTCTAGAAAACGATTCGTTGCCGTTAAGATAAAATCTTGATGAGGTTACACTGCTACGCATCATACCATTGGCAACTCTTCTCGAGGAGAATGAAAAAAGAAATTTTTGTTTGTTCGGTTGGTTGTTTGGTATTCGAAAAAATCTTGTTTCAAAATAATTTTCATTAAGTAACCAAAAAGATTACGTTAAGTGCATTTTCTCATAGTTTTTTTTATTTATTTATTTATTATGTGACAATCACGTGACGTGTGAAAATTCAAAACAAATCCTTTCTTTTCCATCACCATTCAAAAAGGGAGAGAAAGACGACGGGGGTTGAAATGAAAGGGGGATGCCCTGCACGGTTTGCCTACGCCTACCTGAATTCATTACCTGATTACTTTGTGCGTATGACGCAAACCACGTTTTAAAATTTAATTTTTTTTTTTTTTTTTTTTTTTAATATTTTTTTCCACCGAGAAAACATGCGTACGTGCGTACACGCACCCGAAAACTTTTCATTCTATCATTTACCTTGATATGTTTCAATAAATATTCCATGAGAACTTTTTTCTTTTTACATTTTTCCTCTTCTTGACACATTCCAACATTTAATCCCATAACAATCGTTCTGAGCAAACCTCCTTCCCATGCGTCCCACATCCATTTTGGCGTGTAGCAAAGGATGGCCTGAAAATAATAATAATAATAATAAAAATTCAATAAATTTCGAAAAAAAATGTCACTCCCTGCGTCACGCCATGATTTATTTAAATAACAAATCCTTTTAATTTATTTTTTCACTACCTTTCTTCCACACGGTAAAAAAGTAACTAGGTACAGCTTTTTGTCAAAAAAAAAAAATAATAATAATAATAATATTATTTATTTCAAGGTTTCGAAACCCAGTTTTTCTTGCATTTTCAAACGAATCCCCGAGTGCACTGAACTCGTCGGTTTTGTTTAAAAAAAAAAAAAAAAAAAAAAAAAAAAAAAATTGGTAAAAATTTTTCAAACCCAACGTGCTGCTCGGCTGGCTGTCAGGTATGAAAAAAAAAAAAAAGTTTATGAAACTTTTTTTTTGTGTTTCGTAAACTATTTTTCCGACCCGAAAGGTATTCTTTTAAAACTTTTTCACTACCCAGAGGTACGACCTCGTGCTCAACTGCCACTCAAAAAAAAAAAAAAAAAAAAAAAACAACAAAATGCCCTCAAGAGAAAATTATTATTAACAAAATAATTATATTTCACGCCAGGAACGGGGGAATCCAATTATATATGTACCTCATCCTCGTGCTCCCCTTTAGCCCCGAGGTACGTTTCTCCAAAGGCTAAAATAATAATAATAATAATAATGATGATAAAAACGAGTAAATTTTTCGTGTAAGATCGCGTGTGCATGCGTACATGCATGCACGCACGCACGCACGCACGCACGCACGTACGCACGCGCGATTCTTCGTAATTTTAAAACAAGTTTTTTTTTTTTTTTTTAAATAAAGTTTTTCCGCATTATTAAAAAAAAATTAATAGTTCACGGTGAAAATTTTTTTTTTTTTTTTTTCCCCCTCGAAAAAATTTGCCAAATCCTTCGCACAGGTACAAAAAAAAAAAAAAATTAAACGGGGCACTAGAATTGAAATTTCCGCTTTCCCATATCGAATTCCTCGAGGAAAAAAAAAATTTTTTTTCGTGACAAATGAGTGTAAACATTTGTGAGAAGTAAAAAAAATTGGAAAAAATTTCAAATGATAAAATATCGATTTTGGTAAATAAATAAATAAGTAAACAAACAAACAAACAAACGAATGAACTTAAACACAAAAAAAAAACCGTTTGTTACGTGAAAAAATAAAAAAAAAATTTCCAACGAGAAAACGTGGATGATGATGATGATGAAATGAACGTGATGAAGAGAGAGCAAAAAAAAAAAAATCATTTGATGTTTTTGTTTCCTCTTTCGTTCTTATTTTTTTTTCCGACGTGAAAAACAATCGTGGTGTCAGAAAATTCGCCGCCATTTTCACCGCCTTCTTTTTCAAAAGTAAAATTAAAACCAAAAAGCGAGGGGGCCTCCTTACAGGGAAAAAAAAAAAAATTCAACATTTCAACAAAAATTCTTTTTCTTTTCTTTTTGTATTTATTTTTATATTATTCTTCCCTCTCTCTCTCTCCCTCCCCTCCCCTCCCCCACGTTTACGCCATTTAAATCCAAATCGTTCGTTTCGTATATAAAAAAAAAAAAAACGTCGGCGGGTAAATTGTTCGAAACTAATTGCCACGGCTGCCAATACAAATTTTTCTTTCTTTCTTTTATTTTGTCTTTTAACGGAAATAATTAAATAACTGATGACGTCACACACACGCAAAATGAGTTCGTTTCGTAAACGAAAAAGGGAAAAAAATTTTTTTTTAAAACGAATTCCCGACAGCAGAAGATTAATAATGGGGGGGAGGGGGGGCATGAGATTATGAAAATAAATAAATAAATGTTTTGTTTGTTCGATTGTGAAATTCCAGGTGTCAGAACGACAGAAGTTTTCCTACACGGATAATTACTCTCGAATAAATGGTAAACATTTCGCAATTATTTACATCTTGATAATGTTTGTCTCTTGTTATTATCATCATCATCATCATGCGAACAAGTTTTCCTCTTCCTTCTCCCCACACACACACACACGAGAAAACCTTCAATTTAATAATTCGCCTTTGCTCTTTTTTTTTTCTTTTTTTCCTTTCTTTGTTTTTCCAGTCGTCCGACAAATAAATCCGAATGACTACCCCTCCCCTCATCTCCCCCCCCTCTCTCTCTCTCTCTCGTCGTACTACGAATGATGTAACAAATTAAAACTCACGTCGTAGTGCATTTGAAAAATACGCGGGTATCGTGAAAAATCCGACCGAGATAATTACCCGCCCGTGCACGCACACACACACGCACACAAAATCTCATTAATTTCCTCGGGGGATTTCATTTTTTCTAAAGAAAAATATCGTGGAACTAACAACAACAATGGCAACAGTAGATTTGAAAGTTTTCAACTCCGGATGCCTATTCGGAAAAAAGAAAGAAACGAAAAATACATTTTTTTTTTTTTTTTTTTTTTTGGCCTCGAGCGGTAGAATTTATAACCATTTGTGTACGCACACGCACACGCACAAACGTAAATTTTTAAAGTCATTCGTCTTGAACCACGACCGAATCCTTCATACCGAATCTCGATATTTCCTTTTCTAAAAAAATAAGTGCTCGCTAGAAAATTAATTCCTTGGGAGAAAAAAACAAAATGGCGCGTCAGCGTTTCCGCATCGATTCCTAATACTCATCTTCGCGTATTGCAACGGCACTTCGTATAAACTAAAACCTTAGAAGAAAAAAAAAAAGAAAATGGTGTCGTCATAGAGAAAAACACAAAAATACATTAGATGCGAGATGTAACAACGACACTCTCTCTCTCTCTCGTACCATTCGAAAACAGCATCCAAAAGATTCCAAAAAAAAAGGGTTCGTAAAATATACGAAAGAGAGAAAAAGAGAGAGAGAGAGAGAGAGATAGAGAAAAAAAAGAATTCTGAACACCCCCTCGAGGGCAGGCACGGTAATGAATATTTTTAATTATAGTGGTCGAAGGGCACACACAGAAATTGAGTAAATTGGAATTTGATTACAGTTTGTGGTTTTTCCAGATTTAAAACAAAACACACACACACACACGGGCGGGTTGGTTGGTTCTTCTCCAGTGAGTGACTAACCTGATTTTAATTCTAAGGTATTCTCTCTCTCTCTCCGTTTTATATTCCTAGAAATAATTCATAACCGAAAAAAAAAAAAAAAGGATAGAAAAAAACAAAAATGTTATTTAGGGGGCGGGCGGGGTTTCGAATGCCACAAATTTGTAAAATAAAAAAAGAGGCTCACATAATATTAAAAAAAAAAAAAAAAAAAAAGAAATAGAAAACCGAAAGAATCCAATTTTTTTTTTTTTTTTTTTTAAACCCTTCGCGTATCAATTGTCAAATCGAAAAATTAACGCGGCCTCCTACATTCGATGCAATCCCCTCCCTCCGCCCCCCGTTTTACTAAAAGCTCTTTCTTTTCTTTTCTTTCCTTTCCTTTCTTTGAGGTGTTGTTGTTGTCCTCCTCCCTAAAATTTTTTCGACATTCGCAATACAAACAACCTCTGCTGCTCTTTTCATGGCGATTTCATCAAAAAAAAATTTTAAACCCAAGCATGCATGACTCCCTCTCTCCCCCCCCCCACGAACACTTACAAACGCAAATTATAACCTCAAATCTAATCGTCCATCTTTCTCTCTCTCTCTCTTTTCCCACCTTCTCTCATCGGTAATCGGATAATCGCATTAAATTTTAATTAATTTGACTTTGATTTTTGTCCTTTTCTCTCGTCAAACGTAAAGTTTAAATTTGTAAAAATTCTCAAGTAAAAATTTAAGCGAGTTTAAGGTCCGAAATAAAAAAAAAAAAAAAAGAGAAAGAAAAAAAAAGAAAAGAAAACTACCTGAAAAAATAAGTTCAAATGACAAAAAAAAAAAAAACCTGTTTTTATTTTTAGAAATTTTTTCCTCCTTTTTGCTTCGATAAAATATTCAGAGCATTTTCTATTTATTTTTCTTTTTTTCTTTTATTTACTTTTATTAAGACGACAGGTAATAAATTTTTATCTTGGGAGTTACAATACCCATTCAAAATGGCAACTTTTAAAAAATTTTTTAATTTCGATTCGTTTTCTTCCACACTTCCACACACGAGACGACGATCGTCGTGATAAAATTAATCACGAATTAAAAAATCGTCGCCGACGACGACGACGACGACGACTCTTATACGTGTTTAAAAATTATCACGAACGAAAAAAATCCACCGCCCCCCCCCTTACTTCATCCCCCCACGAAATTAATTATAGAAAATTTTTGTCAGAAGGAGACCTGACGCACTATCACCCAAATAGAACCAACAACACGACAGTCGTCGTTTCATTCGTACATTTCATTTCTTTTATCATTGTAACTGATAATAATTATTACGTCAGAGAGAAATCATAATTTTACAAACTTCCAGCGGGGATACGGAAGCCACCCCTCCTTACCCCCCCCCCTTAAAGATTATTTCACGGAAACGAACTTGAAAACGTCAAATCCTCCATTGTTAAAAAAAATTCAATAAGATAATGAAAGAAATTGAAGGTCCAACACCAAAGGAAGTAACAATTCTTCAACGAAAACGACAAATAAAAAAAAAACCTTTTCTCACCCCCTTCTCTCCCTCCTTCTCCCTCCCCCACGTTTAACCAGTTTCCAGTCAAACATTTCTCCATAATAAAAAATAAAAAAAAAAAAACAAAAATTTTAATGCGTGTAATAATCGTATTTTTTCAACTGTATCATTAAATAATTATTTAATTACTTTATTTGACGTTTACGAGTCATTCAAAATAAAAAATAGTTATAATAATAATAATAATAATAATAATAATAATAATAATAATAACGACAACATTGTAGTAAATTTTAGTGAGAGAGGGAAAGAGAGAGAAAGAGAGAGAGAGAGAGAGAGAAAAGTCAAACGTCTGGAGCATTGAAAAACCTCCTATAACCTTCACGCTTAATTTAATTCTTATGAGGTCAAAAAAAAATTTTCACATCCTTTTCTTTTTCCTTTTCCTCTTCGTTCGTACGTAAGTAAAGTCATTGAACGTAAGTGAGGACCTCATACAAAGAAATGAAAGGAGGAAAAGAAAAAAGGAAAAGAAAGGAAACAATGGGAGACAAGGAGTTGAAATATTTTTTTAAAAAGGAAGGCACACAACACCGTCACAGAGTTTTTTTTTTTTTTTTGTTCAAACACGGGAGCAAACGTGAAAAGACACGTGTGATGATGATAATAATAATAATAATAAAAGTCTCGGTCCTCCTCCTAAAAATGATTTTTAAATAACAAAAGGAGAAAAATTTGAAATTGTTTTCATAAAACAAAAGCGGATTTTTTCGCTCCCCAAACTTTCTCTTGCTCCTTTTTTGAGGAGACATTTGTAAACACCTTTTCAAAGACTATTTTCCTCCAGTGTATCGACAACACCATCTTTCTAGAAACCTTCTTCTAACCAAACCGCGCTCTCTCATCAATCACAATTTTCGGGTAAAATTACTCTCAACAAATTACTATCGCGGTGAAGATTGGGGGGGGTCGGAGGAGAGGAGGGGGAAGAGGAGTGATTTGTCTTCGTCAAGGTCGGGTGTTGTAATTACGTTTAATGTCATTCGAATTTTAAAATGTTGCATTTAAATGTGTAAATAATTGTACGCAGCATCCCTCATTTAATGTATATCTTTTCACTCCGTTTTTTTTTTTTAAAGATTCGAATAAAAAAAGATGAAACATAAAAACAGGTAAGTGAAAGAGAGATAGATAGATAGATAGACTCGCTTCAACAAAAAACACAATTTTACACAATTTTTTCCCTTTTCCGCTAATGATGGCGAACGAATAAAAACAAGTTTGAGTAAATTTAAATTGCGAGATGAAAGAATGAATCTGACATGTCACGATACACGCTAATCACTGCTTTTTACATTGTTTAACAAAAAGAACAAAAAAAAAAAGGGAATATAAAGAGAGATAGAGAAAGAGAGAGAGAGAGAGAAGTCAAATTTTCCACGAGAAACGTTTCGGAGCAAAGTACTACTACTACTACTACTAAAAAACTTATCAGGTTTTTATTGCCTTGTGTACGCCACCACCACCACCACAATGGTTCACGTTGATAATTGCTTCAACTGGCCTGAAAAAAACACGACGGAGAAGCTATAAAACGATTCTATATTCGGATCCGTATGGAAAAGTCGACGTTTTTAAAAAAAAACGCCCCTCGCAGCCATGTCAACTTTCCAAAGAAGTTTAATTTTTTTTTTTTTTGTGGGAGGAAAGGGGAGGCCGAGGGGGGTATAAATCAATGAGCCATAAACGAGTATGCGAGCGTTGTGTTAAGCAAACGGTTAATTTAATAGTCTGGGTCGTACCTATCGCCCTATTTCACTTCCGCTCCGAAATTTTTTTTTACCTATGAATTAAAAAGCGAACAAATAAAATCGGAAGTTTCCACAAAATACTTCATTAAAATTAATAAAAAAAAAAAGAAAAACAGGAAATGAACAAACACGCGATCGAATTGAAACTGCAACAACCACAACAACAACAACAACAAAAAGTGAAAATCAAATGGAAAATGTGACACAAACGACGAAAAAAGGTACTTTTTTTTTTAAGGTATCGAGTGAAAGTTCTGTGAACGCACTTGACCTTATACAAATAAGAAAAAAAACCTGTTTTTCACTTCGGAAGCGCTCGTCCACTTTTCAACGGTGGTGTAAACGCAACAAAATACAAGTTCAAGTCATTGAATCAAACGTAAAACAAAAAAAGAGAGAGAGAGAGAGAAAAAGAAAAAGCTCTTCAGAATTGTAATTAACAATTAATAAGTTGTAAGTAGCCAATAATAATAATTATTATTGTTTAACCACAGGTTGTTATATTGTTGTAAACATTTTCTAAATGCAAGCCCACACGCACACCCATTTTCACAAACATTTATCATCATGCAGCACATTCATGTTTCCAAGGAGGAGGAGGAGGAGGAGGAGGAAAAAAAAGACGTCAGTCTACGGTGAAACCCACAAAATGATAGTTTAGAACGCGTAAACAACTCGTGATTTCCGATTTGGAAAAAAATGAGAAAAAAAAATACGAATGATAAATGAAGAAATTGGTAATTAAGCAAAATAATTAACATCAACCTACAACCTGGAATTATTATTATTATTATTATTATTATTAATTTAAATGATTGACTGGTCCAAATTGTATTTTTTCTTACCTGGAAGAACAAGACGAAACACACCCACTGATAATAGCTGTGATATTTTTTCGGTCCGCCCCCGAATTCATTGTCAACACCAGGATGAGCAACTTCGAACCCGACCTGACGTCTGAACGCGTCCGGCATGGTGAAAGTCGACGTAATCCAACAGTATGTGTTCACGGGATGTGTGGGCACTCCTTTCACTATACAACTGATTGGATTTCCCACGAACTGATTTGCCGTTATTATGACGGAAAACGCCATGAGGAGAACGGTCGTGAACACGTTGTGTATTCGAAAAATGGCATTGTCCGTGACAATGTCCTGCCATTTCAAATAATCCTTCAAGTTTCCGAGTAACTTATACATGATTGTCGTCGATTGTTTTTATTTGCTTAAGAGCACGTCATCGGTTCACTAAACATTAGTAGGTGCCACTTTTACGGCATCCTCTTGTCCTCTAATCACTTATTACAATTTTCTTTTCTCGGACGACGGCTTCCTCTCTTCCACCCAAAACATCTTCAGTTTACCTTTAACAAATTAAAAAAAAAAAAAGTAAAAAATACAAAAAAAATAAAAATAAAAAAAAAAACATTCGTTAACTTCACAACACTCAAGTTCGACTAGCCTACGAGGCAACAAAATAATTCGGTCCGTGCTTGTTTACTATGTGAACGTAGAAAAAAACGATGACTTTAATTACACGTAAGTTAACCATAGGTGAAACGCGTTATCTATTTCTAAAACTTATTCAGTCATCTGCGTGAAAAACCTGACGGAGAGTAAGTTTAGCATGAGCAACAAGACGACGAAATTTAAATTGACCACCGCGTACGCTAAGCTAAACACGGAAAAAATTAACTTACAAAAATTAAAAAACCGTTCCAGCGTTTGAATCTTAAGTTAAATATGGCCACGATAGTTATAGTTCAGTCAAAACCACGTAATCAAAAAAGCCTGCCACAAAATATACCTAAAAAAAAAAAAAAATTCCGCTTGTGTTTGACTTTAGGAAAATAAAAAATATAAAACCGAATGAAACCTGCATATATATGCAAGAAAGCAACAAGTCGAATGGAATTCGATAGTTTATCGGACTCGTTTTCCGAGTTTGGTTAATCACAATTTTTTTTTTTTTTTTATATATATATTTTATTTTATCTTTTTCTTTAACAAGTAGTTATCTCGGTCTGTTTTAGGTCATTATTATTATTATTATTATTACTTTTTTTTATCATCAGTCTCCCAAGGTTCAGCAGGTACATTCAATCTAAATAGCCCTTAACATTAGAATAAAAACTTCCCGCCCAATTTTTTTGTTTATTTTTATTTTTCCAACAACAACAACAACAACAACATATAACGTACATTTTTTTATTCGGAAAGTATTCACGGCAAACGGCAAACGGCAAACGATTTTAAAATGCTTTTAAGGGAGTCAAATTTATTACTGGAAAAATTCTAATTGCTTTTCCCTTTGGAAAAAAACAATTAAACAAACAAGTTATCACCCAAACGTTTGTCAACTTTTACATTTATTTTTATTATTATTATTATTATTACTTAAATAAATATTCTCAGCTTTCATTTAAAAAAAAAAAGAAACAAAATGTCACTTCCGCCATAATCTTCCTTCCATTTTAAATAAAAAAGAGCAAAAGAGACACAAGATGGTGTGAAGTATTCCTTACAAGTATTTTTTTCAATAATTAGCAGTCGATTACTAAACAATCACACCATTTCATTTTCCTTTAAAACAAACAAACAAACAAACAATCAAACAATTTTTTAACCAATTATTAATTATATTTAATTTTAACACACAATCGTTATTAAATTAAAAACCTTGTGGAAAAAAAAATAAAATAAAAACACAAATTTTTTCCCCCTCCTCCCCTCCCCCCCCAAATGGTTTACAATTTAATATGGAAGAAGAAGAAGAAGAAGAAGAAGAAGGAGGAGGGGATCGATTTTATTAATTACATACAAAAAAAATTCATTTCCGATCGTTTTTTAAATTTCACAACTAAAAAAAAAAAAAAATGGCGAATTAAATATGGCGTCCTTACGAAAAAATAAAACCTATAGGTAAAAAAATTATTATTATTATTATTATTATTATTATTATTATTTCTTACATTCGTGTGGTTTCTTTTTCATCGTTCGATGGTTTCAACAAGAACCAGAAAAACAAAAAAAAAAATTTTAATTTAACAAAAAAAAAAGGAATGAAAATCAAATCGTGAGAGGGCAAGGATAGAAAAATAAAAATTCGTGAACGTACAAGTCCGTAGCAAAAATTTTTTAACCTCCGTAAATTTACAATAATAATAATAATAATATGTAATGAAAGTAATTAATGGCAAAAGCATTACAAAAAAAAAAAAATTTATTACGAGGTTGTTTTGTTAGAAAACAACAACCGAAAGCCATTTCACATAATAATAATAATAATAATTTTCTTTTCTGTTACGAACGACGACGTATATATAATAACTTGCAATTTTTTTTTTTTTTTTTTTTTAATTCATGCCTAAAAACAAAATGCCTTACGCAAACAAAACAAAAAATTTAAAAAAAAAGTTTTCAATTTCCTCCTTTTTCTTTAAATGTTAATAATAATAATAAATAAACGAGGAGGAAAGAACGACGTTCGTAATTCGAAACGAATAAAAAAAAAAAAAAAAGAAAAAAATTTATTTAACGCTTAATGTGAACGTGTATACTTAATTTGTCACACACACACACACACACACACACACACACACACACACACACACACACACACACATACGTCACTTCACATTATAAAAACGATATTCGGTTAATAATAATTTATCGTTCGTCTTCTTACACGACGCTTTCGTGTAACTGCCAGTAAGTAAAAGGTCAACAAAATTATTACAAATTATTTTAAATATTACAACTGACGCCACATTTCCCTCGTTAAATGTCCCCCCTCTCTCTCCCTCTCTTCCTCCCCCTTCCTCATCCCTTTAACAAGACGTCGACAAGCGGCAAAAAAAAAGAATAAGAAATTTGTATTATTTTTCTTACTCTATGACTTTTCTAAATTTTTATTTGTCTTTTCCCAATCGTCTGTGTAACGGCTAAATGGAGACGTTAAAAAAATGAAAATTTTTATTATGAGCATCAAACAACTCTTAATTTCAAGTCAATTAAAAATTACGACGACCAATCACAAAAAAAATTAATAAATAACGATACGATTAATTAAAATTCTCAACATTTTCATAAAAAACCAACAAAAAAAAAAAAAAATAAAAATTTCAAATTTTTTTTTTAAACTTTAATGACATAAATAAAATATTTAATGAGTTTTCAATTCAACGTCATTATGATTTTATCATCACGCTAATTATTATTATTATATATATGTACAAATATCCACACTAATTATAAACAAACAAATAGTTTTTAGTTAGAAGCCTAAACTCAAACAATTCATTTCCATCCATTATTCGAATGAAATAGTTTTTTTGATAGTTTTCAATAGAATGATATCAAGTACATTAACCACATAAAGAATTATAATAAATTTTTTGATGAAAATGTTTTTTTGAAAAAGCAAAAATGAATAAAAGATGATATGAAAACATAGTAGTCGAATGTGAAATAAATTTTTACTCGGAATGAATAACAACAAACATTCGAATGTCCATTCGTTAGAAGAAACTTAAATTTTCTCGATAAAATCAAACCCCCTTGCTGTGTTTTTTTATTAATTTGTTAATTAATATAATTTACAATCAATCTCATGTTTAATTTAATGATATTTTCAATATTTGAACAATTCGAATAACATAAATATTATCTCAACAACAACAACAACAACAACAATCAATTACTACCTGCAAAGACATGAAAAATTTTTAATTTAAATTGACTAAATTCAATATAAATATAACTTTGTATATAATTATTCAAAGTTCATACCTGAATGTGTAATTTCGTCCAAATCGAATGCTAATTAAAAAAATTTATAATAATGATGATGATAATAAGTTGTTATAATTACTGCTGTTTTACATTATTATAAATTAAATTTTACTCACTAAAATATTATTTTAATGTGTGTGTGTGTGTGTGTGTGTGTAAATGTCTCTTTTTGTTTTGTGCATGTAATAATAATATAAATAAAGAAAAACTTTGTTGCGTAATTAAGGATTAAATTATTCAAAACAAAAAACAAAAACTAAATTGAACTTTAGAATAAATAATAATTAATTCACGAGACAAACAAAAGAATTATTATTAGAAAAAAACCGTTAAGTAATAATAATAATAATGACAACGTTTGCAATTTTAAAAAGTATTTGTCGTTTAGTTTAAATTGTTTAATAATATTTTACAGTCAATAGAAAAAAAAAAAAAAAAGTTAAATTTTTTTAATATTTTTGTGTTTTCATTATCGTCCGTTACTTTTTAAAAAAAAAAAAAACAAAATGTCGCGTTGTATTAATCTCCTGATTACTTTCTACACTTTGACAACAACTTTTTTATAAAACTCGTATAAAAAACAGAAGATGATTGTAACTGTTTTTTATATTTAAGTCTAAATTATAAATAAAAAAAATTTGATTATTCGTTTGAGAAAAAAAAAAAAAATGGGGCACATACCCACTAATTTACATCCGCGTGCAATTTCCCTAAAAGCGGCACAGATTTACTTTTTTTTTTTTTCTTTTCTTTTCTTTTCTTTTCTTTTTCGAATTCTAAAGCTTTTACTCCTTTAAAAACCAGATTTTTAATACCAACTTCACCGTGAATATAACCTTGAGATGAAAATACTATAAAAAAAAATAAAATACAACAACTTTCCTTATTCGTTACGTTTGTTTTGCCCTCAAGCACTCACTGCATTTCGAAATTCTTCATATATCAACTTAGTCGGACCGTTCTTCGAGCCACGTTCGTAGAGAAATAAATTTTTTTTTAATTGTCACACCGTTAAATGATTTATCCGACAACGTTGTAAAACATTACAAAACCAATCTTTTCAAAATAAACAAAAATTCATTTTAAAAAATACGAAAGACGCATTATGAAACGTGTTCGCGAATAAAAATTACGTCTTTTAAAAATTCTTTTTTACATTTGACGTTGTGTTTTTTAAAAAAATGATTTTCCATCACTAATTCGTAACCGTTGAAAATGTTTTCTTAAATTACGATGCATTTCCCTTCGGGAGTGGGCTAGCTTCTCCACTTTCTTTTTAAATATGTTAACTGTCATAAGCTAAACATTAAATGTTGAAATAATACTGTTGCAGCCTCTAATATAATCTCAAAACAGGGTATCATTTTTAACCGCCTTGGTAAAATTGAATTTTTTTATAATAAAAA